CCCGCGCATAGACTCGAATATGGCAAGAGACTCATTCAAAACATTCATACCTCTCAGTGTGGATAACGGAGCTCGTTCATGTATCATTTTCGATTTCTTCGACTTAATGTCTGCAATCGCCGCTCACAGCAAGATGAATGGACTGGGCGGGCGGAAATTGTCTCGGATGGGTGCATGGTGGGCGTTCGAACACAAGGATACGGGCAGTGGCTTCGAAGGAGGTTACAAAGCATGGGCAAGGTGAGTCAAACTATCACAAGGATCGGACAACACTAACAGGCTTCAGCGCCGCTGATGCTACGAGCCATCTGTTCTTCGCCTACCTGCGATCTTTGGCCCCACAGAAGCAGACACAGGGCTCCATCTCGCTGCTGCCAATGTCTCTCCAAAAACTGCTTCAGGAAACCGAGTATCCTCCCCAGAAGCCATCATTGATGCAGTCATCTACATACAGGGTCGTCATGATCGTGGACACCGTTTCGCCGGGCCCCTTCGCACTTCTCCGACGAGCCAACCACTTCCAGTATCGCGATGAAGATCAGGCTTTGCGCGAGTTCTCCGAGTACGAGGATCCCGTCAAGGCACTGACTGAAGAGTGCCGACGTGTTCTGAAATCGATCTCCTCCGCCAACCAGTCCCAAGTTTCCAGCTCAAAGCACTCAACGAGCTTGCGCGACGCATCTTGGTCACGCTTTGAAGACATTGGCTTCACCAGCGCTCTCGAGGACGACGACGACGATGACCACGAAGCCGCCGCCGCGACTCGAAAGCCCCAGGGCTTGAGGACCACACCTGCGGCTGGCAACATGGGTTTGGGGCGGCCGACCACGCCTTCCTGGGCCGATTTCCTCTCGTCTGGCTTTGTGGATGACAACCCCAACAACCCGAACATGCTGCTGCCCCCCGATAAGCAGTTACCGCCTATCGACACCGCTCAACGCCAACGGAGTTCTCAATCTCATAATCCACGTCTGGAATCGGATCGTCTTGAGCCTGGCGAGCTCGCAAGCATTGCCCGCTTTGACCTCGACGAGAGCTTCTGGTGGGTTTGGATGAGCAGTCTTGCGCCCGAAGAGACTCCCGAGAGAAAGTCTGCGTTTGGCCGCTGCGCCGTGATTGAGACGAGCATTAAACGTGGTCGATGGCTCGTCATGGAGGAGATGGTTGCCGGTGCCGCCCCCGAGCCCCAGGAGGGAGCCTACATTGCTGAGAAGAAGGGATTCTTCAGCTGGACAAGACGCAACAAGGGCGTCAACCGTCGCAAATCAACCGGCAAGCATACCCTTGAGAAGGGCAACAAGAAGGCGGATCCCAATGTCAGCAAATCGAGCATCGGTCCCGATCAACAGGCTCGGATTCAAGCTGCCGCTCAACAGCTTCAGGCACGCCAGCAGCAGGAGAAGCAGCAAATTCTGCAGGCTCGACGAGGCAGAAACGATGAGTCGGCGAGAGAGAAGACCACCAGTGTATTCACCCTCCAGCCAGAAATCATGAAGCAGGCGTCTCCAGCGATGAAATGGGCGAACAAGTACGATAAGGAGGCGATCCGGGAGGCTTATCTAGCGAACAACACTGCGGGACGTGGTATCGGTGTTTCTACCATGCAAAGGAACAACAGTCAAGGCCACAACGAATACTCGAACGGCAATACCAACGGAGCCGAGCTTCGCCCTGAAGTCCCGGCCAAGTCGCCCTCGCTGCTACCGCAGCCCTCGCCATTGACCCAGAGCTCACCAGGTTTCCCTCGTTCGCCATCCCCGCTTCCCCCCAGCGCACAAGACGACGAACCTCGCGTTCCATCCGAAAAAGAATCAGAAGCCCCGAGTGGCCTGCACCCCGCCGACCGATTCGAGGAGGGTCGCAGTTCTCCGATGCCCCCGCCGAAGGACTCATACGACCAGGCACGGGAGAACATGTTCACCCCGGAACCGGACACCAGCCCGAAGGACAAAAAGTCCAAGAAGCTCCACAAGGAGAAGACCGGTGGAGGTGGACTTCGCAAGCTCTTTGGCCGTAACAAGAACCGGAACTCAAAGCTGCCCGAGAACGCCGCCGCAGATGTGAACGGTATGCTCCAACGCGAGACAGCAACTCCCGAGCCGCCAAAGCCTGCTCCTTCTCCTGTCCCCCAGCCCGCTGCCTCAGAGTCCAACCTCCCCACACCAACACCTGCAGAGGCTTACATCACACCAATGGAGACTCCTCAACCCGCCCCAGTTGAGACCCAAGCTCACGAGCCGCAGTACGAGCCGTCCGTTGATGAATCCCTCTCTCGCGTCGACACCGACGATGCCAACGAGGCTCGGCACGAATTCTCGCGTTTTGACCAGGGCCCTCTGCAAGAGCAGCCCGCGTTTGTCCCCGACGACGACTCCGAGGATGCTGTTCCGCCCCCTATCGCGAGACGTGCGAAGACCCCCGAACCTCCCGCGGACAACTCGTCCGCTCCGGTGTCTCCTGAGGATGGCCCTAGATCGCCACCTGCAGTCGACCGATGGGCCCAGATCCGCAAGAACGCTGCCGAGCGCGCAGCTCAACGCCAAAGCGAAGAACAGAGCCGCGGCGGGTACAGCAAGACTACCGACGATGGCGACGACACAAGTGGGGAAGAGAGTAAGCATTACCTTGAACTCATAAATCTTTGGCGTCCAAGATCTGACCATGTATAGCAATCGAGTCCCGCGTAGCGCGTATCAAGGCGCGTGTTGCTGAACTAACTGGCAACATGGAGAACTCCCAAGGTCCTCCTTTGACGGGCGCCCGCACTCCTCCCGTCCGCCGTTAAATTGATGGACGACCATTGAACCTCGCGATTTGAAATTCAGATTCTCTGCGTATGTTTTGAATGATTGCAGCATCAAGCATCATTACGACTAAAAAAGCGCCATCTTCTTTCCGGTCTCTAATTCTTCGAGATTAAAAAACGTCTCCGATTTTCAGATCCCTGGCCGGATCTAGCCCCCCTTTTTCTGTCATTAGTCCCTAATACCTTTCTGCTGTCCTTCTTCGTTGCGGGTTGTTACAGAATAAGATGATACCACTAGAATAGCAAGCCGATTACGCACAAATGTCAATGGCAGATTTGATCTTTCAGTAGAAGAACTGATGAGAACTTTGTGACCCGGTGAGAGAGAAACGGAGTTTCACTCACCTCATTTTCAACTGCTGTAAAGGCCAAAATTTCTTTAGCTGCCTCGATCTTTCGTCTGAAACCTAGTCAGCAAAACAATGGCATAGCTCTCACCTTCCTTTCCATCAACACATCCGAAACTACTACCATCTCCAATCGTCGTCCGCCGTGGGACTGATCTTATTCGTCACTCTGCTCATCATTAGCATCAAACTGCTCCACAATATCGACCTTCTCTGTAGGAAACTCGCCGCACTTCATCTGATGACCCACCCACGGGCTGATGGTGAGCCCCTGGCACCTTTCAAAGGGTGTCTAGACGAAGGTGTCTTTGACCTTGATGCGTATGAATGGCTACTGGGGAGGGACGTAGCCGGCGTCCTTGACTGGTTGACAAGGTGTCAGGATGATTTCCTTGAGGTGGTGGCATTGAATGTAGACGTATTGCTGGATGTTGCACATTTGACTCTGTGATGGAGGAGGGGGTTCGGTTTTCTGCTTGGATCCTGGTGATCCTGGTAAGAAGTTTTTGGAGCTCTTTGGTTGTTATCGGGGTAGTTCCCCGGAAAGGACTTGCGTGTTGGGTATGGGATTTGAAGATTGCGTGCGTGATGTCTTTTCTCAGTCCAAATGGCAACGAGGGCGGCTTGTATATGAGGTATATATGAGCTGGCTATCGCCTTTGCATTGTTGATAAGTCTTGTTCATACAAGGCCTGGATTCCCTGTTTTTGACAAAACTACAGAGACGAATTGTAGACTTGTCCGCTTATTGTCAATGACATTGTGCGAGACTAGAGGTTCTCGGGTAAAAAGTCGGTCCCCTTGAGAGGCTATTGTTTCGATCTGAAGTGTCTCGTTGAAGAAGAAGCTGATGAGATGAAGGACAATACATAATGCATAGGTGTTTCCCTGCTTTGATTTCTTTTGTTGATGAATATGTCGACCAAATTGCAACTTCTTTGGGCCTCTCTCAGGAACTTGTCCGCCTCGTGGATCGAAACGAAAGACTAGAGAGTATGTTGAGGCGTTTGAAGGTCAATCATCTGGAAATCTGTTTTCCTCGTCCTGTATTATATGTGGCTAGTGAGGACTTGACAGGATCTAGGAACTGATTGCGAGGGGATCAAGCTTTGATCTGAAAGATGCTCGCTGATGACAGCGACGACGACAACGACAACGCAGGCTCATTGATCCTGGATCTACCTCTCGCGATCTGCTCAAGAATGCGCTCCCCAAGTACGCATACGGTGTTGACTATTTTTTTTCCCTCGAACCAAAAGAAGGAAAGCAGAGAGCTTGGGGGAAAAAAAGATGGCGCGACAACACGATGGTGGACGGATAGTCTCTGCAATGTTTGCGTGTCCCGGCCATCCGGTTGAGGATCTCATGTAGTGACGAGGCCCTTTAGCCATTCCGGGAAACACGACCGATCGCCAATGCACACGTTGAAGGTTCCTCTTCGCCTCTGCGTACTTAACCTCGGGACTGGGTTGCGTTCTACTTTCCTAATACGTTTGCGAACCCTTGCTGTTTTGTTGGAACTTGAGAAAACACACAGCGTCTCCACCAACAGATCGGTCCCCCTTGCCACCAACGTGCATAATCGATGCCAGTGGTGCCAGTTCAAGAAGAGGGGTCACACAAACATTTGTTTGCACCTTTGCGCGCCGGACCTAATAAGCAACCGTTATGCCATCGAATTCCACATCAAATCCTCGTCCGTATCGCTTCTTCACCGGAATCCGTAGCATAAGCATTCTTAGTTCGTCATGATGATGTCCAATGAGCAGCCACAGCCTGACGGCGATAATGGCCCCATCATCATCGCCGATGACTTTGTGAGCTCGTTCTCAGTCTTTATCCACTGCCAGCCTTGCACTTGCCTCAGGTCGGACTTTCTAACCACCTACTTCAGAATGCCGATGACAGCTCATCAGACCGGGCGACTGTAAGTATACGCGCTTCATGACTATTCAACGTGTGATGGCTTTGCTGACAGTGGCGGTCTTGACCACTTACAGAGCATCGCATCTTCTAGCACGAGCTTGGCAAGCTCGATCATGAACCACCGTATCGAAAATGGCAGAACCTACCACAGGTATAAAGATGGCCGTACGTATGCCTCCCCAGGCCACCGCTCCTCCATGGCTGACAGGAAATAGAGTACAGCTACCCCAATGACGAGAAGGAGAATGACAGGCTAGGTAGGGCTGATACATGCTCGCCCATGTACTTGTGAACTGTCTCAACTCACAAATCTCCCCTCCAGACCTTCAACATAACATCTTCCTTCTCACGCTCGACTACAAGCTGGGTCTTGCTCCGGCGGCTCAGCCCGGATCCAAGGTCAAACGTGTCTTGGACGTGGGAACTGGCACTGGAATCTGGTGCATCGAGTTCGGCGATGAACATCCTGATGCCGAGGTCAGTACAAGACCTTTTGGTCATCTCGAATCGACATAGGCAGTAAGACTGATTCTTTCTTCTGATTTGTTTGTAGGTTGTTGGTATCGATCTGTCTCCAGCTCAAACAGCATTGTACGGTTTTGTTCTGATGAAAAATCAATGGCAAAGCCACTTCAACTAAAACTTTCGGCGTACAGCGTTCCGCCCAACGTCAAGTTCGAGGTTGACGACCTCGAGGAACCTTGGACGTACCACACAAAGTTTGACTACATCCACACGCGCGTCATGACTTCTAGCATCGCCGACTGGAAGAGGTTCTTCAAGCAATCTTACAAGTTGAGTTGAACGCCCGCTCTCTCACCCACAAGAACACGGCCGTCGGCCCAGCCAGCACCCCCCACCCTCCAAAGCTAACACCAGCCCATCTAAATCTAGCTTCCTCGAGCCCGGAGGATACATCGAGCTCCAAGAAGGCCACATGAGACCCGACTGCGATGACGACACCCTCAAGCCCACCAGCCCGCTCATCGAGTGGGTCGACAGGCTGGAAGAGGCCTGCAACATCTTTGGGCGTCCGTTCATCAACTGCCCGAGCCTCAAGCCGCTGCTCGAGGAGGTCGGCTTCGAAGACGTCTCGGTGAAAAAGTACAAGTGGCCGATCAACGCGTGGCCCAAGGATCCTCACTACAGAGAGCTCGGCATCTGGAACCTCGAAAACATGCTGGAGGGCGTCGAGGGCTGGAGCATGGCCCCCTTCACCAGAGCGCTCGACTGGACGAAAGAGGAGGTGAATGTCTTCCTCATCAGTGTTCGAAACGAGTTGAAGAACAAGAATGTGCATGCCTATATTCCCGTGTAAGTCCTCCTCAACCCCTCCCCGGGCCTCCTTGTTGGGCTGCTATACTTCGCCTTTCACCAAACCACACTTTCCATCTCCACACCGCTGAAAGATTCCACAGGTACGTGATCCACGCGAGAAAGCCGCTCAAGCCTGCTGAGGATGACGAAGAGGCGTCCTGAAGAGAATCGAGGCAAAACAGTTCTGAAGTTGATGTGGAAGGGGGTTGAACTTAGCTAGCGAGTGACAATCATGTTGGACATGGTGATGAGAAAATGAACTACACGCTCACAAGTAGATCCGCAGCTCGCCGCAGGTTATCAAGGACTGATTGACATTGTCTATCTCAATCTCATTTGAATCCAGATATATATAGAGAGTGTGTAGCATCCGGGGGTTCGCGTTGAATTGACAAGCTCTTGGTAACATATCCCTCAAATATTTCAGTGATTCCGTCGTGGCATCGGGCGAGACTGCTATCACCACCACAACCAATGGCCTGATTGATCTTTTGTGTGCGGTAGACTTTGACTTATTAGTCGTATTTGGACGAGGAGCCAGCCTTCGGCTGGTGTACCTTTTAGCTTGCATGTATTTGAGGCGCGGCACAGCATTTATTATGGCTAACTTACCATCATTCATTTCAGCTCATCGAACGGGATCAGTCACATCCACATCGTGTCAAATAAGAGGAGGAATGTCAAGTGAACAGGAAGTTTGGAGTTCCATTGAATCCAAGAGACTACAACATGTATCTATGAATACATTCCCTAGATGTGAGAAAAATGCCCAAATTCAAAAAAGCGCGCCAATGCGCACCCGTTACTCCGGTTATCACTGTTTTACCCAAAGCCAAGATTCCGTCGTGCGCTCGTCGTAGATGATCGTCTCAAAATTTACAGCTCCAAACTCGGCGTCTGGCCCTTGACGCGGCCAATCACCTGCTGTGGTGCGTACTTGGGGATAACCTCGTCGTCGTGCAGCATCTCAAACTCCTCGGTAGCATCACGGCCCATGAAGTTCATAATGGCCTGGGGACCACCGGGGTGCTCCTCGAGCCAGTTGGAGAGGTCCATCACAACACCCTTGACAACGACCCACAGGTCCTCCTTGGTGTTGTGCTTGGCGACCTCCTCCATGGAGAACTCCTTCTCAGGAACTGTGAACTCCTTGGGGTTGTTAGGCTTGGAGGCCTTCTGGCCGTCCGCCTTCTCGGGCGTGGGGCCGGCGGCTGATGTGGTCTGCTGGGCAGGGATACCCTGGCCACCGGAGCCACCGCCGTTGTTCCAGTCGATCGTGACACGACCAGGCTGGGCGGGGTCCAGGTGCAGAGAGATCTGGCCGAGACGGGAGGCGGCACCTCCTGCGCCGTTAAGGGCCTGTTGGAAGAGGTAGTTGCTGGCAGTGTCACCGGCAACACGGCCGTAAACGACACAGCCAAGCAGGGAAGAACCACCAAGACGGTTGGCACCGTGAACACCACCGGCAAGCTCACCGCAAGCGAACAGGCCATCGAAGGGCTTCTGCTCGGTGTTCAAGACCTGGGCCTTGTCGTTGATCTCGATACCACCCATGGTGAAGTGAAGAACAGGCTCCATCAAGGCGACGTGGAAGTCATCGTTGATGTCAACGGGGAAGTTGTGGAAGAACTTCTTGCCCCAAGGGTCTTTCTGCTTGCCATCGGCAATGGAGTTGTAGGTGGTGAAGGTCTTCTGGAGGTGGTCGGGGGAGCAGCCAATCTCCTTGGCCAGCTCAGCACCGGTCATCTTCTTCATCAGACCACGGCCAGAGTAGTGGCGAGTGTGGAAGTCAAGGACCTTGGAGGCCTTGGAGTTAAGAATGAGCCTGATGGGGAACTTGTTCTTGTCCTTCTCCTTCCACATCATGCCGGAGACGTAGTCACGGTGGCCCAGCTCGTCGCAGAACCGGTCACCGTCGGCATTGAGGAGGAGACCACCCTCACCACGGAGAGCCTCAGCAGCCAAGAACTTCCACTTGGAGCCGGGGTCCTTGGGGTCGACCAGACCAGTAGGGTGGACCTGGACCTTGTCCATGTCGATACCGTTACCGCCGATGGCCATAACCATCTTCTGACCGTCACCAGTGGCGTGGGTGCCGTTGGTGGTGGCGAGGCCGAAGGTATCGGGACGGTGCTTCTTGAGGAGGGAGGTTTCGCCAAAGTCGGCAGCGTAACCACCAGTGGCAAGAATGACAGGGCCGTCAACCTTTTGCTCCTCGCCATTGAACTCGTATGAAACACCAGTGATGGTGTTGCCGTCCTTGTTCAGGCCGGTAACGCGGGCCTTCTTGATGATCTCGACACGCTCGGGCTCGGTCTCGGCGAGCTCCTCGAGTCTCTGCATGAGGGCATAGGTGATGGCCATACCGGGGAACTTGGCATCGTGACCACGGTGGGTACGGGGCTGGGAGTGACCTCTATGTGATTTGTTAGACTCTTGACGGTATATGACATGGTAGGGTTGCGATTGACGTACCCTAACCGCGAAACGAGAGTAAGGTCCAGGTTGAAGACATCCTGAAGCCATTCGACGGCAGCAGCGGACTTGTAGGTGAGCACCTTGATGAGGTCGGGACGGGCCTTGTCACGGGCAGACTTGAGGGTATCATCATAGAATTGCTTGACGCTGTCGGCAATTCCGGTGTCGACCTGTGTCCTCGTCAAGGCACCGTTGATGCCGGAGGTGGCCTTTGTGGAGTTGCCTCCGAAGAAGCCTGTGCGATACGAGCGTGAGCTTTGCGACAATCCAGAGCAGTTTGGTAGTGATAGGTGTATTAGACTTACCCTGCTTGTCGAGAACGACAACGTTGCCTCCTGCGAGGTAGATGGTGTGCGCGGCACTCAAGCCAGACACTGGCAGTACGGATTAGCATGTGAGCGGGTAAGACGAGGCCGACATTGGCCTCGGCAGCGAGAGTGGTGAGACTGAGAGAGGTGGGAGCAAGAAGTGTAGAGGTAACTTACGACCACCGCCAACGACGATAACTCTGGGTGCCATTTTGATTGATGTGATGGTGGTTATGCGCTCCAAAGGACAGGATGGAGAACAAACAAAGAAGATGGGGAAAGGGAAAGATGGTGGGGGAGGAAGAGAGTTTGGATGGAGAGGTTTAAGAAGAAAACGAGAAGAGGAGCGGTGCCTTTTCGTCTCGTTGCTACGCCGAGGGAAGATGGGGAACAAAGGCACCAGGACGACGCGGGTCTGGGGCCGAAGGCAGGTGCAGGTGGTGGTATCCGCAAGGAACCTGGGGGGGTATACCGTATGGAACGGTACGGAGTACAGTGAGTGGTACGCAGACGACTCGTCTGGTTGCGTGAGGTGGTGCGCGCAGACGGGAGAGTGCCAGAGTGGCAGAGAGAGTGTCGCTGACACGGCGATTCGTGAGCCGAGGTCGAAGCGCCGGTGGGAAAAGCAGAAAGCAGGGGGGGCAACTTCGCACTGGGGACTTCCATGGCACGAGTCCACGACTGGGCTTGCCCGCGGTGCTAGTGGGTTTTGGGCCGAGTTTTGGGTCAGAGACTCAGAGTTGGGGGTCGGGGAAAGGGACGGTCTGGGGCCTGGGGTGAGGAGGATTGGCGTCACTAAACGGGGGGACTTGATGAACGTACCAGTAAGAATGAGCCTTTTGGTCAAGCGGTGGCAGTGGTCCGAGGGATACAAAGAAACAATGGGACACTTTTTTTTTTTGCCTTAGAGATGTGGGGAAGCCGAGACCGACAAGAGAGAGAGAGATTCTCTCAATGGAGTGTTTTCTACACGTGCAGTTTATTTCCCCAATTGCACATCGTGAGAAAAGTTTCCTCCATATCGTGTCTAGTTACTACGAACTGGCAATTGCGTCCGGTCTGCGGAGGGTATTGCAACTGAACTGCTCCTCTGGCATGAAGAGACCCCAGACACTCGTTGGCTGCTCGCAGTAATTCTGGCCGAGACTGGGCCCGTGTTCGCTTCCCTCGGTGGTGGACCGCGACGTGCAAAACTGGGGGAAACTGTGGGGGATGTTCTAAAAGTCTCGAATTCCCCGTCTGGCTCTAAAGTTTCCCCCCGTCCCCGTCTATTACTGATTGAGATACCTCTACGGATACACTCCGTATATCTTACCGAACTGACCAACGGAAGAGGGGGCATTAGACATGTTGAAGCCGTTCGACCCAAAACTCCAAGAGATGCACTTGAGGCTCTCTCGAGAGAGAAGGGATGACAGACCGGTTCACCTGCTACGCCTGCCCTGGTCCTTAGCGCCAATTGTGTACGGAGTGAGGTGGTGCACTTTCACGAGTCAAATTTGTTGGAGTAAGCTGCCGCAGAAAAGGCTGTGAAGAATTTTGTGACAGTTTCAGGACTTTTTTTTCGAGCCATCCATCATTTGCCTCTGACATGTGAAGGCCGCTCACTTTACCACTCCCACGCAAGGTGTATCCCAAGGTCACGGGCATACCCTCGTGCTCGAGCTTATGCAGCTGACTGACCTCGAACCGCCTGTCTACCGTTTCCCGTCTGAGAGGCAGAGGCTACCAAACTAAACGTCTGCCGTCAAATCTCTAACAGCAAATTGGCGAGTCTGGCGTCGCCTTCCCGCCCCCACAATCGTGGGTGCGTGGGCGAGGCCTGCCACATGCCTCGTGTCAACAAGGTGAACGGGTAATCGACATCTTCACGGGCATGAACCCGTCTGCGAGCCCATACCCATGGGACGCGTTCTAAAACCCTTCTCCAGCCCCTCCAGACTGTGCGGCTGCATCGAAGCTGCGGCTGGTCGAGCACCGTCGAATCTTCACGAGCGAAGCTAACGAGCAAGAAAGGCATAGCCACCACATAGGTACTAAAGTCGTGTAAGGTAAGTCTCACTAGCCCCCCTCCCACCTATCCCCCACACAAGAGGTGCAGGTCAGATGATTGCCCGGTCCGGAGCTTTTAGCACCTGACCGAGGATCTACTCGCATTGCCGTCCCCTCTTTTTCGTTGCCGCCCGCTGCTGGGCGACCACTTTCGGCCTGCATTCCAGTCCAGCTTGTTCCTCCGCACTCGTACGAATAGTCCAACACACAGTACATATTCCCCCTTCTCACAGGCCATTTCCGGTCTACTGTGCACAGTCGGGACTCTTTTTTGGAGTCGTGCTTGGGGGCTGGGCTGACTGGTTCTGGTCTGCTCTGGGGAACCCAGGCACCCAAGCCGTACGGACTACGGAGCACATCTTTCGCATGTGAAAGGGGGCATCTTGGGGAAAAGCAGCAGGACGGTGCAAAAGCCTAGATGTGTCAGGTGCTCAACTTCTTGGACCGTAACAAAAACCACCCCAGAACTTGCCACCTATCCCGTCGACTTGGTTTCAATTCAACCTCCCATGATTCATGAGAAGCTTTCTTGATTCCTGAGGTAATTAAAACTACACTATTATCACAATGGTGGTGGTGGCCTCGCATCGCTTCTGTCGCTGATTGCTGAGGCGGAGGATTGCTCAACCAAGTCTACTTCGTTTCAAATGCAGCAATAATTCCCGACTGCCCTCTCGCGTATCCTCACCTTATTACTGATCACTCACCTGCGCCAGAAAGAAACCCGCGGATTGAGAACAGTGTGGGGAACGGCTGCCCGTCTCCGCAATCGCTCTCTTCTGTGAGACAGAAAAGGCACCAGGGTCCCAGAGAATACGGAGTGCAGTACGGATAGGTAGGTAGACACGTACGACACGTTTGCAGCTGTCTTTGGTGTATCTCGGCGAGTGCGCTCGTCCATCGGGAATGCAGGAACTAAAGGTTGAACTCGCCTCAGCTTCGTGAAGGTATCTTCGGGAAGGGAGCGGTTTGTTTCTTGCCTCATGTGAATCGATTGCTTAGTCTGTGCTTATTGGGCCTTTTTGGCGGTGTCTTGCAGCAAGTGGCAGGTACCACCACTCCGTACCTACCTGCTGCCGGAGGGCACCGCTGGTCCTGCGCAAAATCGGAGCATGGATGATGTCATCTCATCATGCAGCCAATCGCCGCCCTCACATTTCCAAAAATCTGGTCCCTGCAAAGCCGCATCCTACGTGAAAGTGACGCGCGCCATGAGTGTACTACCTCGCTGCGTTCGTGGAATGCGTTCACTGGAATCTTGAAAATTCGACACACAAAAATTCCCCATTCCGCAGAGTCAGAAGCACAATGAGACGGCCCACCGCCATAATACTTCTCTTGTTCTGCACTATAGTAACGGCCCAGCTCAGATCCCTCCCCGTCGAACGTTCCGGCCTCAACGGATACGCACCCCGCTTCTTCCGCCAGAAACCCATCGCAGTAGACCCCGCCCCCGGCCCAGCCATGCCACCACCACCGCCGTCAGACCCCCCTTCCGCCCCGTCCACCGGAGGGCCACCGACGGGCGGCCAAGACGGCGTGAGGCTCTCGGACGTAATGGGCCGTGACCGGAGCATCAACGTCTTCGCCGGCTTCACGCGCGACATCGAATCCGCATCGCGCCGCCTCGACGACCAAGAGCGCAACACCACCGTGCTGGCGCCCCTCAACTCGGCCGTCGAGAGGTTACCGCGGAAGCCGTGGGAGGATCCGAGGGATTACCAGCAGCTCGGTGCGGACGCCTACGAGGGTGACGACGGGAGGGATAAGGCGCAGAGGAATATTCAGCGGTTTGTCGAGGCGCACATGGTTGGCGTGAGTCCGTGGCCTGAGAATACAAAGGCCAAGACGATTGGTGATGATAGGGATGTGTGGTGGGAGACCAAGGACGGTGCAAAGTTTGTAAGCAGAACCCGCACTGTTCTTTCCTCCTTTTCTTTTTTCTTGGTATTGTCAGGATATGGGAAACTTACAAATGTTACAGATCCAGCCTGGCAATATCGAGGTTGTAAGCGTAGCGAGTACTGTTGCCAATGGCGAAGTGGTATGTGATCCCAATCTTGCTCACGGCCCGTTTTGTTTTACCTTTCTAGACCAGATGCGCCTAACATTGCAAATAGTGGATTATCAAAGAGGTGCGGAACTATGCCTAGCGAGACCTTTCCTTGAGCCAAGAGCGAGGGCCTGCTGGAATGGCCGCCTCGATACCCTCTATAGGGTACACATTTGTTTGATATCATTACCACGGTCTATGGCGTGGCGGGGAGTATTCTCATTCGGATCGCCCCGCTCTCCAGGTTCACGACTTCAAGTCTCGTGAAAACTCACTGGTATCGTTACACCTGAAGACTAGGGAGTATGAGTTGTCTAGTGATTTTCGTAGGCCCCCAGTCAGGCGTAGCTTTTGCGTTTTGCTTATGTGTTCTTCTGTTCTTACTTTATTGAACGATAATTGAAGCGTGGATTGATATAAAGATGAATGGACGATCGATGATGAAGAAATAGTAAACGAATACCCAGACAGCATAGTAGAATATAAGACGAATAATATCTCCATCTTCTCGACACACCTTAGTGGGGACACGAATCTAGGACCGATTAGAAAAAAATGCTGTGTGTAAGAGAAACTTGACATCCTGAATGTGAAAGGAGCTCTGAACGGTTTTATTTTTTGGAAGCTAAATAATTGACTTTGCGAAACTACCTTTGCTCAACACCTTTCTGCCCGTCCATACAGTGACTCGAAAACGAAGGCGCCGTATCAGTTGAGCCATCCACCTCGAGTAAAGGCATCAGTTCGTCATGTTCAGCAGAGGCGTGATAGCGTAGTCAACCAGATACCTAACCGTGCAACAAATTAGCGGTCAAACTGGGCGAAAGTGACCGCCAGAGCGCAAGGAAAATCCTCACATGGTCAAGTTTTATAAAAATAAGGCACCCTTAACAATACCTAAGCTGTCGGATGCAACATGGGATGAGGAAAGACTGCATTGCCCCATTCGGATACATAAAGTGGATCAGATTAAATAAGGCTGTTATCTCCACGTGACGTGCGGCTTCTTCCGCGCCTGGGGGCTTCATTCCAATCAGCCGCGAAGGGGTTTGAGCAGCTTCCAAGCTTGGAGACCACTACGAATTTTCCCTACGTGACGTCCTCGTAGATCTACGATACTGTAAGCTGAGATAAGACGTTGAATCCCCATGTAGACATCATACCACTGGTAGCATCAGTCTGTAAGTGTTTTCAATTTCGACACGATCCCCGGCCGCAGAGGACTGGCGAGCGACGCAAAGCTTGCGTGGTTGCAGAGTCCAGCCACCCCCCTCAGACTCTTCAGGGCGCAACTGAGGACAACCCCTCTCTATCTTACCTCCTCTCTACCCTCTATGCCAACGCGTCGCTAACAGTCGAGTGGAAGAGGACGATCGATCTCAGGATGATGAGCGGGAAACCCGCTGAAGAGGTAGACGCCTACGAGCGCGAGGCCGAAAATCGTCGTCGCCTCCAAGACGAAGAAATGGAACGACGCGAACAAGAACAAGCCGAGAGACGTCGCCGAGACGGCTACCCCCCCGGCCCTCCCCATCACAGCAATGCTGGCTCTATTCCCATACACCAGCCCGTCGCATCTCGCGCGATGGGCGCAATCCACAGCCCGGGCGGCCTGCTCGCGAACCACGGCTCAGGCTCGTCAGGGCCTCCCATGCCACTCGGCGCCCCCTCGGGGCCTGGCGCGAACTTCGGCGGCCCCCTTCAACCCGACAACAGTAGACCTCCGCCACACGGGGGCCCGAACAACCCAAATACCCAGCACCAGATGTTCGCGCCGATCCCGCACACGACCGTCCCCCCCAGTAACTCCCTAGGCGCTGCCAGCGGTGGTCCACCTGTCTTCGGAGGACCGCTGCAGCAGCGCGAGGGCCAACCTCCGATGCAACAAGGGCCTCCGTTCGGTGGCAGTGGTGGAAATAGTGGCGGCGCTGCTCCCGGCGTCGCTGGCGGTCAAAGTCAAGGGCCGCCTGGTCAGCAAGGCCAAGGTGGCATTGCCCAAGGCCAACAACCCATCTTGAACGTAAGTTGAAATAAGTCATTTGTAAACTTGCCAGATGAAGAAGGAGGCGACTTCTTGCCGATGCTCTTGCCTGTGGCTGGACGCATCCAAAGTGGAAACCGATGTGGGCTGGTGCGCCGATACGGCGCATGTTGCCCAGGCAGGATGCAGTGCCGCCCCGCGTGCATATTCCGTCCTTCCATCTCGCTACGTCCATTTGCGCCTCGTCTTCATCATCTTTCCATCTTCCCAGTTCCCCTCCAGAACCATGCGCATCACATTCTTCTTCCTGTAGCCTGCAAAACAAATGCAACCGCGGTCATGGATACGCCCATCATGGTTCAAGTAAAGCTTGATTTAGGGTCAATGTTTTGTTTGTTGTCGGCCAGAGCTAACTATGAATGGTAGGATGCCTTGACGTATCTTGACCAGGTCAAGGTACAGTTCCACGACCAGCCAGACGTGTACAATCGGTTCCTCGACATTATGAAAGACTTCAAAAGCCAGGCGTATGTGATTGATCCGTTGTTCAGGTGACACAACTGACCAGAGCAGCATTGACACTCCCGGGGTCATCAACCGCGTCTCGGAGCTTTTCGCTGGTCATCCGAACTTAATTCAGGGCTTCAATACCTTCCTGCCACCGGGATACCGGATTGAATGCGGCGCCGGCAACGACCCTAACACCATCAGGGTCACCACCCCTATGGGCACAACTGTTCAGTCCATTGCCGGCAGAGGAACCCAGGTCGAGGGCCACCCACATCCTAATGGTGCTTCCCAGCCGCTCTTTCCCCAGCGCGGAAATAACTGGCAGCAACAGCAGCAACAACAGCAACAGCAACAGCAACAGCAGCAGCAACAACAACAACAACCGCCGCCGCCCCAGCAAGCACAACACAGCATCGAAAGCCCTGAAGCGAACTTCAGTGCGCCTGCGTTCATGAATCAAGGTCACGTCGCACCTTTTGAGGGTCCTGGTGGTAATCAGCAGCGTGGTCCTCCGGCGCAAGGCGCTGCCCACGCGAACAACGCGCAGCAGCCTCCTCGCAATGCGCAGACCCCTACTCCGGTAACGGGACCCGCAAATCTGAACGGCGCGACCAACCAGCAGCAACAGCAGGCAAACCTCGAGCGCCGTGGGCCGGTAGAGTTCAACCATGCCATCAGCTACGTGAACAAAATCAAGGTCAGTCTAACTGAACTTTTTTATTTCTTTCCATATCCCCCCTCAGGCTGAGGCCTCGCGCACTAACCACGCCGCAGAATCGCTTTCAGGATAAGCCTGAGATTTACAAACAATTCCTTGAAATTCTCCAGACTTATCAGCGCGAACAAAAACCGATTCAGGATGTGTACGCCCAGGTCACGACCTTGTTTCATACTGCACCTGATCTGCTTGAAGATTTCAAGCAGTTCTTACCCGAGTCTGCTGGACAAGGAGGAAAGGGAACACCCGGACGGCCTGGGGATGAGCTTCCGCCTGGCCCTGGCCCTAACCAGACACCTCAGCCGAATATGAGCGGCCAGAAGATGCCTCCCTTGGGGAGCTTTGCCCCTCCTAGCGCTTCCAAGGAGACCAACAAGAAGCGACCTAGAAATGATAAGCAGACGCCCATTCCTGCGCCGCCTATCGTGGAAGCTGCGGTCTCAGCCAGCCGAGCTGCTCCTGGCGCTCCTCCTCCTGCGGCCGCCAACAACAAGCGGACCAAGCTGTCTCACAACAAGGCGCTGGCTTCAGATGCCCCCGCGGTCGAGCCGACACTGACGCCGATATTGCCAGAGCCTCTGGGACCTCCCGCGTCAACCACCTCAAACTCTGACGAAATCGCCTTCTTCGAGAAGGTCAAGAAGTACTTGAGCAACAAGACATCATTCAACGAATTCCTCAAAGTCTGCAACTTATTCAGTCAATCCATTATCGACCGCAACACAGTGTTTCAGAAGGGCAGCGTGTTCTTCGCCGCAAACCCTGAGTTGTTGGGTTTCTGGAAGGCGTTCCTCAAGTACGAGCCGCATGATGAGATTGTCGATAACAGACCCGCGCCTCCTAGCGGTAAAGTGTCGTTGAGCAACTGCCGAGGCTATGGACCTAGTTATCGTCTTCTTCCCAAGAGGGTATGTCACCCTAGCTCTTTTTCCCACTTGCACTCACTAACCATTGAGCAGGAGCGCCTCAAGCCTTGCAGCGGCCGCGATGAACTCTGCAATTCCGTGCTGAACGACGACTGGGCGTCGCATCCGACCTGGGCCTCCGAAGATTCCGGCTTCGTCGCTCACCGTAAGAATGGTTTCGAAGAAGGATTACATCGAATCGAGGAAGAACGCCACGACTACGACTTCAACATCGAGGCAAATCTCAAGTGCATCCAGCTTTTGGAGCCTGTCGCCCAGCAAATCAGTGTCATGTCGCCTTTGGAGAGAGAGCACTTCCAGATGCCGCAGGCTTTGGCTGGACACAGCACATCGGTCTTCAAGCGCGTCTGCAAGAAGATTTATGGCGAAAAGGGCCCCGAAGTCGTCAACGACTTGTTCAACAACCCGCTGAATGTGGTCCCGATTGTGTTGACCAGAATGAAGCAAAAGGACGAGGAATGGCGCTTTTCGCAACGCGAGTGGGAGAAGGTGTGGCATGCTCAGGTTGAGCACATGCACCTCAAGAGTCTCGACCATATGGGCATTCTTGTCAAGCAGACCGATAAGAGGAACCTCTCAGCTAAACACCTGGTCGACGTCATCAAGACGAAGGCCGAGGAGCAGAGGCGCCAGCGCAGCTTGAAGGGCAAAGCCCCACGTCATCAGTTGGTTTGGGACTTCAACGACAAAAAGGTTGTCGTCGAGCTGCTTCGTCTGATGATGCTCTACACCGTCAGCAGCGGCCAGCATAGCGTACCAGAGAAGGAGCGCATTGCAGACTTCTTCGAGACATTCATCCCTGCATTCTTTGATATTCCCGAGGAAGATTTGGAGGGTCGTCTGCCGAGGCTGCAGGATGTTTCGGAGGAGGACGAGACTGAAGAGACTGTCCCTACTGAACTGACCAACGGCCGTAGCCGCCGTGCTGGAAGAAGAGGCGATTTGCTTCGTGGCGTGCTTGACCCTGGCCGCAATGGCTCTAAGCCGCGTGCTCAAAAGGAGGGAAGCGCAGCATCTGGTAGCAAAGAGACGACACCCGAAGTTGGATCAGCGAATGAGGAAGAAATGCCTGATGCTCCCGAAGATGGCACTGGCCCCGACGTGTCTAACGACCGCTGGATGCCGATCGTCCCGCAGCCGATAGTCACAACTGGGGACGATGCCCTCCTAACCGCCGACGGTGAACTGAAGGCTGATGGCTTCTTCTCCCGGCCTTGGCACAACTTCTTCTGCAACCAAACCATATTTGTCTTCTTCAACGTTTTCCAGACGGTTTACACTCGTCTTAGGGACGTTAAGGAGAGCAAGGAGAGTGTCGTCGAAGAGGTTAACCGCGTCAACCGACCTCGTCCCGCAAAGGATATCGGCTTGGCCGACAACACCCTCAACTACTTCGGCCCTCATGATGACCCTGAGAGCTTCTGGCCGAAGACGCTTGAGCTTGTTGAGGAATACATCACTGGCGACATTGATGAGGTTCGATACCAGGATGTTCTGCGTCATTACTACCTTAAGAGCGGTTGGAAGCTGTACACCATCCAGGATCTTCTCAAAACTCTCTGCCGTCTTGCTCTCACCTGCAGCAGCACTGACGCGAAGGAGAAGACCCCAGACCTCATTCAACAGTACCTCCATAGTCGGGAGAAGGAAGAGACAAACTACCAGTCAGAGATTGCTGCCCGCAAGTACGCAGAGAAGTGTGTCAAGGATGGCGAGATGTTTGTCATCTGTTGGGTAAGTTTAACTGAACATGACTGCCATTGCCCTAAAACTAACATATTTCGCAGTTCCCGCTCAAGTCAGAAGCCTCTGTCCGTTGGCTGCAGCGTGAAGACACCACCTTCTACATGGACGAGATGAAGGCCAAGGATCGCTGGCAATACTACATCTCGTCCTTCATCCAGGTCGAGCCGACAGAAGGGGTGCCACGACACAAGCTCCAAAAGACAGTCTTGGCCCGCAATCTTCCTTCTAGCGACGAAAAGTTTGAAGACAGCCACATTCCCAAGCCCATCTCATTCGACGAAGATCTTTCCATCAGCATTTGTCTGAACTCGAGCAAGATGGTGTGGAAGTCTGGCACATCTGAATACTTTGTCTACGACAATGTCCCCAAGGACAAGGAGGGCCAGGAGCGACACCTCGAGAGGCTCAAGAATGCAAGCAACAAGCGCGACACGAAGCTCCGCGAGAAGTTTGTCTTCAACAGCCCCTGGATGAAGGGCATGAGCCAGTCCGACGTCCAAAAGTCGAATGAGGGATGGTCAAAGTGGCTCAAGGATGGCATTGCACCCGCCTCGGACGCAGGGGACGCAATGGATACTGCAGAGTGAGGCGATGATCCAGCGGAACCGGCGTTTTCGGCGGCGCGCGGCAATCAAGACAGCAACATGTGTGAGATCGGAGACAAGATGGGCGAAGGCTGAAAGTTCACAATTACGAAGATACCAGGCGGCATAGCGATGCAGAGCGGCATGGCTGCCATGTTACCCCAACTTTACATGGATTTGGTCTTCTCTTCATGCCCTGACCACGAGCGTAGAATCGTTGGGACGGGTTGGCGTGGGAATGGCGTGGGAACGGACCGGCGTTACATGACTTCTTCTTTTTTTCCTTAAATTTCTCGATCTGAATGCGGAAAGAGGAGCAGAGCGGGGGGGGGGGGGGGGGGGGGGGGGGCAGAGAATCTCTTTCTTTTTTCGCGGATCAACTCATCATGAGAGAGTGAGATACGCCTCTTTTTGCGACTGATTCCTTTTCAGACTTTTTTCTTTCCTGCGAATGTACAATAGTTGTGGTTGCGCAAAATAAAAAAGGTCTTGTAAGAAAACGTCTTGATTTTAAGGTGCCGCCGTGCTCTGTTTAGACCATGCGCGTCTGGTACCTTTCGCATCTTGATGCCGCGAGGGGCTCCAAAGGCTCATAGTCCCACCCCTCGGGGGGCCGATGTCGCGGGGCCCAGAGCGTTAACCGCGTTATGCACAAACCCGCAAGAACTTCCTTCACATCGTGATTAGTTCCGCAGAAGAAAGAACGTGACACAGCCACAGTTCTCTAGATTCTTTTTAGGAGGGGCCGAAGATGTAACGTGTGTGGATCTTATCAGATCATCTAATCAGTCAAATCTCCCAGGATCTATCCGAGAACGGTGCATGAGAAATGCAGAAAAAAGACGCAAATCACGGCAGCTAAGTGGGAACTTGTGGTCTTAGTCTCTCTGTAGAAAGAAGTTTGCGGTCGTCGGATTCGTGATATTAGGTAAAAAGATCTGCAATGGCCGCCCATTGCGCTATATCTAAAACGTGGTATACTTTTGTCTTTTTTATTTTTATTTTTTTTATTTTTCCTTCAGTAGTCTTGGAGCCCGCCATGGGCCATGTATCATGACGCGAGAAAAAGTGCTGTGCGTCACGTCTTCTGCAGCCCGCACAATCACCAGCGTCACATGCGGCAAAGCCGCTGACTCTGCGCGTGTGTACGTGGGCGCTCGACGGGGCCACGGCCCCACATCCTGCCAATTACCTGATTTGGACCGTACGAACTTCGGAGCTCCGAGTCATCTACTTTCGGGGAGGGGGAATCTTAGATGTTTGCTGTGATTGAGTATCCGTCTATTGCAGGTTCTCAATGACAATGGCAGAGGCACCACCGCCACCGTTGCAGATACCGGCAACACCAATCTTGGCCTTCTTCTCGCGAAGGACGGTCGAAAGGGTGGTGACGATGCGAGCACCGGAGGCGCCGAGGGGGTGTCCGATGGCGACGGAGCCACCAAAGACGTTGACGGTCTCGGGGTCGAGGTTCAGGAGCTTAATGTTGGCGAGGGCAACAACGGAGAACGCCTCGTTGATCTCGTAGAAGTCGACATCCTTCTCAGTAAGGCCGGCGTGCTTGATGGCCTTGGGGATAGCCAGCGCCGGGGCAATGGTGAAGCGCTCAGGCTCGCGGGCGGCGTCGGCCCATCCGCGGATCTTGGCGATGGGGGTGACGCCGAGCTCCTTGACCTTGGCCTCGGACATGAGGACAACGGCGGCAGCCCCGTCGTTGAGGGGAGCGGCGTTGGGGGCGGTAACAGTGCCGCCGTTGGGGATGAAAGCAGAGCGCATAGCCTTGAGCTTGTCAACGTTGAGGTTCTTGACCTCATCGTCGCGGTCGACCTTAATAGCGGGCTTGCCACGGCCGCCGGAGACCTCGACAGGGGCAATCTCCTTGGAGAAGACACCGGCCTCGGTGGCAGCCTGGGCCTTCTGGTAGGTCTTGATGGCGTACTCATCCTGTTGCTCACGGGTGAAGTCGTGCTCCTTGGCGCAGAGCTCAGCAGCCATGCCCATGTGCTCCTTCTTGCCGTAGGCGTCGGTAAGACCGTCCTTGAGGACACCATCGACGAGGGTCTGGTCGCCGTACTTGGCGCCGTTGCGGAGGACGGGGAGGTAGTGAGGGGTGTTGGTCATGGATTCGGTGCCACCGGCGACAACGATGTCGGCGTTACCAGTGAGGATAGTCTGGGCACCGAGAATGATGGCCTTCATTCCTGAGGCGCAGACCTTGTTGACGGTCGTGGCGGCGACGCCCTGCGAGAGGCCGGCTCCGAGAGCGCATTGGCGGGCAGGGGCCTGGCCGAGGCTGATTTTCGGTCAGAATACGTAAACATTGTGTGGATGATCATAATTCTTCGTGTGGGTGTGTGTATGAGACGTACTTGGCGGACAGGACATTGCCGTAGAAGACTTCCTCGACATCTTCGGGCTTGATCTGGGGGACTCGCTCGACAGCAGCTGTGGAGGGGTAAATGTTAGCTTGCCCCGCGCTTCGGACCGTTTGATAAGACATTTACATACCCTTGATGGCGTGAGCTCCCAATTGAGTGGCGCTCAGGCTAGACAAAGAGCTGATAGAAGAAAGACCGTTAGCTTCTCGACCAAGCAGTCAAGGTAATATTCGTCGAATGTGCTTATTCGTACCCCAAGAATGAACCAACGGGGGTTCTGGCAGCGGAGACGATGTAGACGGGAGGAAGGTTGGCCATTTTGAAGGTGGATGTGGTGGGCGTTTGGGTTTGGAATGTAGAAAGAGAGTTTCTTCAAGGATGAGCCGGGAACCGTTCCTACTTAATTGTGAAGAAAGAAGGAAGTAAACAGTTTTTTGTTGGGCAAAGTGTCACTAATCAGAAAGAGCTGCTTCTCATTCCCCCCCCTCGCCGCCTTTTTGGACGTTTGGTGGGGTTGCTCCGACCCTGCACCGCTCCGGTGGCTCTGTCCACAGCTAGGACCTTGTGGCGCAGTAGCTCTCTATCGGAGGTCCCCTGTAAGGTAGAAAGCTCCACTGTACCTGCTTCCCTAGCGTTGACCGTGCAACCAATTGACATAGCTTCAGCCACTCAGCCTTGCAGCCACACACCCAATCCAGCCACAACGTAGCCTTGCCAGAAACTTTGCGCCGCCGTCATGCTGGGAACGCGACGGCGCGTGGACTAGAATTTCAGCAGGCTTCTAGCACCCACGACAAAAAGTTCATCTGCTGCACCACTAGACGCCAAGATGGATGATCTGTACGACGAGTAAGTACACAAATCCAGTGTTTGACTGGTAAGAAAGTCAGGCTGACATTATTACCATAGGTTCGGTAACTTCATCGGCGAGGATGTCGGCTCTGAAGAGGCGTCTGAACGAGGGGCGGAGGGCGACTACGTCTATGGCGATGATGCCAGCGAGGCGCCCGCGCCAACTGGTCAAGAATTGATGGAAATTGATGGCACGTACAATTTGCGCTTGCGCCGAAAGGACTCGACTAACCTAAGGAAACAGATGACGGCCCATCAAATGCGATCATCCTGCACGAGGATAAACAGTACTACCCGACGGCGCAACAAGTATACGGAGATGAAGTCGAAGTTCTTGTACGAGAGGAAGACGAGCAACTGCTTTCGCAACCAATTATAGCACCCATCGAGCAGAAGAAATTCAACATCGAAGAGGCCGACCTACCACCCGTGTTCTTCGAGCGAAGCTTCATGACAGACCTCATGAACTTCCCCGATCAAATACGGAATGTTGCATTGGCAGGACATCTCCACCACGGCAAGACGGCATTTATGGATATGCTGGTGTTGGAGACCCACGATATCACCGACAGGCTCGAGCGTCGGGTCGGCAAGAAGAGGGACGAGCAGCTCAGATACACAGACGTCCACGTCGTGGAGCGGGAAAGAGGCGTATCGATCAAGGCTTCGCCCATGAGCTTGGTTCTCCCGAGTTCCAAAGGAAAATCTCACCTGGTCAACATTTTAGATACCCCCGGACACGTCAACTTTGTTGATGAGGTCGCGGCCAGTCTAAGATTAGCCGACGGAGTCTGCTTGGTTGTCGATGTTGTGGAGGGCGTCCAGGTCAACACGGAGCAGATCATCAAGCATGCGGTTCTGGAGGATATCCCACTGACGCTCATCGTCAACAAGATGGACCGCCTCATCTTGGAGCTGAAGCTGCCGCCCAAGGATGCTTACTTCAAACTCAAGCATGTCATCGAGGAGGTCAACACAGTGATTGAAAACACCATCCCGGGCAAGGGCGAGGAAAGACGGATAAGTCCCGAGAAGGGCAATGTTCTTTTTGCTTGCACAGAAATGGGTTGGTGCTTCACTCTGCAGTCATTCGCCAAAATGTACGCAGACACTTACGGCGGCATCAACACCGAGGATTTCGCAAAGAGACTATGGGGCGATATCTACTTCAACCCCGATAAGCGGAATTTTACCCGCAAGCCGCTAGAGACACGCTCAAGCCGATCCTTCGTCAACTTCGTTCTGGAGCCCATCTACAAGATCTTTACGCACACGATCAGCGACACCCCCGAGGATTTGAAGGTCGTCTTGGGCAGCCTCGGCATCACCTTGAAGCCTTCTCAGTACAAGGCTGACGCTAAGGTGCTATTGAAACTGGTCTGTGAGCAGTTCTTTGGCCCCTCGACAGGGTTCGTCGACATGATCGTAGGCCACATTCCTTCGCCGGACCAGTCTGCGGAGAGGTACTTGGAAAAGTACTACACAGGCCCCCTAGATACGAAGTTGGCTCAATCCATGAAGGCTTGCAACCAAGACGGTCCGCTAGTAGTTCACGTAACAAAGCTATTCAGCACCGCAGACGCCAAGAGCTTTTACTCATTTGGTCGCGTACTGAGTGGCACAGCTCACCCCGGGTCGCAAGTCCGAGTGCTAGGGGAGGGATACTCGATAGACGACGACGAAGACATGGCTATGGCAACGATTTCTGACGTATTCATCGCAGAGTCAAGATACAACATTCCGACGGACGGCGTGCCTGCGGGCAATTTCGTACTGCTCGGTGGAGTCGACAACTCCATCGTCAAAACGGCGACACTCATCCCGCCGAAGCTTGAAGACGATGAGGACCCTTACATCTTCAAGCCTGTCAAACATTTCACGGAGTCTGTACTCAAGGTAGCCGTCGAGCCCATCAACCCGTCAGAATTACCCAAGATGCTTGACGGTCTGCGAAAAATCCAAAAGAGCTATCCGCTCATTACCACGAAAGTCGAGGAGTCGGGAGAGCACATTGTCTTGGGCACCGGCGAATTGTACATGGACTGTGTTCTCCATGACCTTAGACGTCTGTACGCCGATATGGAGATCAAGA